CTGAACCTGGCTCGCCAATGGTGCGCACAGTGGTGTTCGAAAGTTTATTTCAGTTTCATAACTACCAAATCAGTCCTGTTGGTGGCGGACTTCATGTTGAACCATTGCGTGGTCGGCTGACCACTCTGTAAGTTCCCTCGAATGTCAGTCCTGCCGTGGACGAACTTCATGTTGAGCCATTGCGCGGTCGGCTAGCCATTCTGTAAGCTCCCTCGAAGACGGCCTCGTTTCCCGGTCGTCCCTGACGGCCATGGAGCTCTCTCACGGAGCTGTGAGCGGCGCGGCCGGGGCGGGCGCCCGGCAGTGCGCTCAACCGAAGTGTGGGGGGGGGGGGGGGGGGAGCCCGACCGTCCCCTCTGCACGCGGCTATCACTGAGCAGGGGACACCAGCACGCGATGGGGATTAGCTGCACGGGGTGCTTCAGGAACGTAACGACCCTTGATTCCACATGTTTGGACTGTCATACGATGTTCACTGGTCGCCAACTTCCTAGCCAGTAGCATGGCTGTAAGTTGTCGTGGCAAAACTAGATGTTTTGCTGTGATATATACATAAGTGTGCTTTATGGATGTCAAACAGAGCCACGAAGTGTGCAGATAACTAACATTAGACATGTCTGTGGCATCGGCACAAACAAGTGCGGTTTCTTTGCCCGCAAGGAAACTGATGCACCCGATCATTACTTGTGTTAGCGCACTTTTGTGTTGCTTCGTCCCGTAATTTGTGTACCTTAAAGATCTTTGTCCGGAAGGTAACAAGCTGACGCAAGAACTGAGCACGCTTATCTGGAACAAAGGCGTGTTGTATTTCTCAGCAGGCTTCACAGCTTCGGATTATTCTGTTATGACCAGCTGCGCACCATAGATAGGCGCTGTAGAACTGATGCAAACCAGTTCGCCAGTACTCTCCAGCCGCGGCTCACACGCTTGTTTTCAATGTGTGTACACTGCATGCGCATAGCATGTTGCGTTGCATGCTTATCTTTTCAGTGAGCGGTTGGGTATGAGGCACTGCCCAATCTTACATATTTCCTGTGTCAAGTTGCTGAGCTGGCTAGTTAGTGGTTTGCCACGGAATGAAGCAATTTCAGTCACGCTCGACCAGCCAGTGATTGGTTTCAACCCAGGCTGGATACGTAACATCAGTTGCATGGACATCAAGAGGAGCGGGTTTTGTTTTCATGCTAGCTTCTGCTGGCGGACTCGATGTTTCTTTGCGATGGCATTTATCCTATGCCATGCTCGCATAGTCTTTATGGTACATCATTAGGCAAGAAAAGCCATAGGTTCCTGGCTTTTCGGCTTTATGGGTTAATAGTCATTCTGCTTTTGCTGACACATTCATTATACCAGGAGGTACTGGACGTTATAAAGAAAATATTAGTTAATTTATGAACACTCGACTTTCAAAGCTATGGTAATGATTACGAGTGGTTATAAGCGTATGTTCACGGACAATCAAATATGTTTTATGTGAATATTGTGTTGCTAGCTCCGAAGTTGTCGTTGCTCCATGCTGTGCTCCGCGACCCACGCGGAACACTACAAATAATTTCATTCAATATTTCATGTAAACTAAACTAAACTGAATAATTGAGCGGATAAGGCTACATTTGATTCGCTTAATGTACCTACTACATAATGCGCAGATATGAAATAAACGACCAGTTGTTCTACTCCGCTGATGCTTGCCAAACTGTATTTCCGGTGGGTGGGTTACGTGGGACGCTCTCACGCGAATTTTGTGTATAAAAATAGGCACGCCCCAGCTCGAATGCATGCATTATCACGGTGGCTGACAGCGAAGTTTTGGTGCCGTGGTCTAATAACGAACGCAGACTTTAGCCAGCACGATAAATTTCGTTTCCGCGTGCACGTTCCCAGCCACTTGGTAGCCCTGTGGCTTTACCCGGTCGTAGTCATCCGGCTGCGGGTTTGGCCATGCATGTGCAAACTCATTAAACAACTTAGTAGAAGCAAATATTGAAAAAACATGCAAAGTGGAACACACCTGACGGTCTGAATCATCACGGATCATAAGTGATCACCTAACATGCTTTCCTTTTAGGGCATTGTAATTTAAACAGGTCCAGGCGAATCGCATGGCATGGCTATCCAACGAAACGCTCTGCCACTCAATCCAACAAAACGCCCTGACACTGCATCCAACGGGACGCTCTGGCGCTGCATCCAGCTGAACGCTCTGACGCTGCATCCAGCTGAACGCTCTGACGCTGCATCCAGCTGAACGCTCTGACGCTGCATCCAGCTGAACGCTCTGACGCTGCATCCAGCTGAACGCTCTGACGCTCTATCGAACGGGATTCTTTCGCGCTGTGTCCAACGGGGCTGTCTGGCGTCAATCTACGGGACGCTCTGACGCTGCATCCAGCTGAACGCTCTGACGCTCTATCGAACGGGATTCTTTCGCGCTGTGTCCAACGGGGCTGTCTGGCGTCAATCTACGGGACGCTCTGACGCTCTACGTAGCGGAATATTCTGACGCTCTATCCAACGGATGCTCTGACGCTCTGTCCAGTGGGACACTCCTATGCTCTATCCAACGAGACCGTTTGACGTCCATCCACGGAACACTCTGACGCTTTATCCAATGGGATCTCCTGACGCTCTTTTCACTAGGACATCCTGACGCTCCATTCAACGGGACGTTCTGACGCTCTGTCTTATGGGACGTTCCTATGGGCAGTGATAGCCGGCGCCTGGGCTGCCCCGTTGCCGCCGAGCGGTATCGATTGATGTATATTGATGTATGCGTCTGTGAGGCAGGCCTCCGTTGGCCCATGCCCCTGCACGTCGCCGCTGTCTGGCTGTCTTTGTTCAGCGCAGTGTCTTGGCGCTGGTGAGTCGCGTGTATGGGGATTGTTTTTGGTGAGATGAAAATACTTGGTAGAAGGCAGCGAGTCGCATCGCGTGAAACCGGCCAGGTTCTAGCAGGTGACGCATTCGGGGTAGATTTGTCTAGCTTCCTTCAGCCGAATGGTGCTAAATCTCCCAATGTCTTGGACATTTGCAACTTGTGTCAAATTTGTCTTCAAACAACATGATTCATTGATGTATGACAAAGTAATATGAGAACCGGTCTAAAACCGAAATTGTCATCGTCCGAGGTGCAGGTTTTTTTTCTTTGAGAAGAGGGGCTAGGTCGTGTGCCCAATTTTCTCGACTAGCATGTCTTCACTTTTGGGTATCTGGAATCAGCGTTACCTCATCAAATCTATCGCAGGGGACGATGTCCATATTGTACCAATTTGGTTTTGTCTTTTTCGCTGTGGTTCTATGACTAGTTTGTTTGTGTTTTTAACCGTTGAGAGGACTGAAACCTTGAAAAACACAAAAAACTAGTCATAAAACCACAGCGAAAAAGACAAAACCAAATTGGTACAATGTGGACATCGTCCCCTGCGCTATATTTGATGAGGTGACGCTGATTCCAGATACCGAAAAGTGAAGACATGCTAGTCGAGAAAATTTGGCACACGACGTAGCCCCTCTTCTCAAAGAAAAAAAAAACCCGCATCTCGGACGATGACAATTTCGATTTCACACCGGTTCTCATATTACTTTGTCATACATCAGTGAATCATGTTGTTTGAAGGCAAATTTGACACAGGCTGCAAATGTCCAAGATATTGGGAGATTCAGCATCATTCGGCTGAAGGAAGCTAGACGAACGAATGCGTCATATATAATCGCAAGCATATATATATATATATATATATATATATATATATATATATATATATATGTATATATCAACATTTGCGTGATTACATATTTATTTAAGTAAGGATGTAAGGTCGCATGCATAGATATGCTGTACTAATAATGCATTTATAGGAGTATGTGTCGCGATATTTGCGGCTGTTTGCATACTCGGTTCGCACTCGCTTTGCGTGATATGGATTCATGGTAGTACTCTTGCGTGCTCTACTATTCCATCAATAATCTGTACCTGCCTGCACGATCCAATCAAAAAGCAAATGCTCCTGAAAGCTAGAAGCGAATTGCTACTGCCTGTCGTGAGACTGAACCGCACCCGCCTGCCATTGGCTGCCTTCTTGCCTCCATTTTGGTTATCTCGCGATAAGAGCTAAGCCGATACGAATCATTGAAGGGTTTTGATTCCTTCAGATGAAGCCCATTAGTTTCAGATAGGTACCAGAGGCCTTCACGGGGTTGATTCTCCTGACCAAATCCATTCGCTACGCATGGTGCTGCGCCTTTGGCGACCCGCTACTCACTCCTGGTGAATGGTGCCCACTCGGTACCCACCCGTTTGCTTTGCTCCTGCATTTTGCCTAGAATGGCTGGAAAGGTTGCAAGAAACTTCGCACGTAGTCTTACCCTTTCGCTTGATAATTGTAAAGGCATGCGTGGGATACGTAAATTTATGTGTATGCGTATGTGTGCGCGTGCGCGCGTGCGTGCGTGCGTGCGTTTGGCTCTCTTTTTCTCTCATGCGCATGTGAGCACGAGGGCACACAAGATATGCGCCTGCATGCATCAGCGAGAAGCCTTTAAATAAGCCTGCAACCTTTCAAGCGAATCTGGTCCGTGACAGACCATCCGAAATGGGAACAAAATGTGCATGCTATGAACAAACGCCTGTGCCGACAGGTCCATATCACTGCGTTGCAAAGCATTGGTTCCGAAAGGGAAGCGTAGCATTGCTGTGTCTCTCTCCCCCCCCCCCCCCCCCCCCAAAGACGCTGCGGTCCCAGCACCTCCACCATGTCGTCATTAGCTTGAGCCGCCCCGACGAGCTGCGTGTCCAGCCGCCGTCACCCGTCGTTCCCTTCGCAGCCAGGATGGTCGAGTCCCTCGCCGCGTACCACGTCACGTACCCGGAGCGCGTGCGGCGCAACGGTGCGCACCTCTCGCACGACGTACGCCACTCCTATGACGTCAGCGGGGGCTGGCGCGGCGGCCGGCGGCGGCGGCGCGGCCTGCGCCGTGACGCGGCCGCCCACTACCGCCTGCAGCTGGCGCACGGCGAGGAGGTGGTGCTGGACCTGCGGCCCAACCGGCGCCTGCTGGCGCCCGGCTTCGTGGTGGAGCGGCGAGCGTCGGCCGGCCGGCCGGGCTCGGTGCGCCGGCCACGCCGCCACTGCCTGCTGCAGGGCCGCCTGCGCGGTCGGCCGCACTCCCGGGCCGCCCTCTCCACCTGCCGCGGCCTGGTACGCTGGCGGCTGCGGCTGAGGCTGCTACGGAAAGACCTGCAGCCGCGGCTGGGGCCGTGGATCCCACGCTTGGGCTGGTCGGAAGTGGCCTGGACTGGCTTTGTACGGTAGGATCTGGCCTGGGTTGGTTCGGTGCTGCCTGTCACTGGCCGCCGCCACAGTCGGACCTGCTTTTGACCAACACTGTGGTATCTGGCACAAGAAAGTACACCATACCAAGATAGACGTCTGTGAAGCAGAACCAGCTGTAGGTCGGGGCAGGAGGCTCTAGTGTATCCATTTTCCATGCCCTTTTAAGAAGGCTTGTGCTGTTTGTGAGCAGTCAATGGTTAACTAGCTGTATCCTGGCCCGCTGCTGATAATTATTAGCCCAATGATTCACTGTAGCAATATACGTTACGTTCTTACACCCTCGGCGGTTTTCAAAAAGCGTGTGTGAGATTGAACTGCTGTCTTTTACACTGTGAAATACTGCCAATCACTGTGCTAGGCTGCAGAAGCCTTCCAATGCGGCCGTGTACCCAGCTTTCCCGGCGAAGTACCTGCACAACCGCGGCAAAATTGAGATAGGACCGTCTGGGTTTGTTCAAACGCGCTAACCGCCAGATGGGGCGCGATGGGGTGGGGTGGGGTGGCGTGGGGTGGAGGTTACTGTCAGTGGGTGGGTGGGGTGGGGTGGGGTGGGGTGGAGGTTACTGTCACGGTGATGAAGGCCTCCTTTACAACGGCGAGGTCATGGGTTCGATGCACGCTGTCGGCTATATCTCGGTTCCCCTCCCCAATCTGTGTGAGAGATAGCGGTGTTAAATGACGGCAGCAGTTACCGCGCAGAGGGATGGTTAAAAGCCACCGTGCCGGGCTTTCCTCTGCTGGCTGGGTTCTCATAGAACCACTTCCGTTCCATTTGCACTATTTGTCGGCTGTCGCGTGTTCGGCGTCCACAGAAACCCGCTCCTTAACCGTGGAACGATCTGTCGGCGCCGCGTCTGTGCGATCGTTCCCGCCGACTGGTCGGGCGCCGCCGACACATCCGCGGTTGCTGCGGTTGCCACCCGCGGCGCCGCCCCCCATCCAGCCACTGACGCTGCCGTGCACCGCTGCCGCAGTTGGGCTACATTCACACCGGCCAGCACCAGTACATCGTGGAGCCGGTCAAAGGTCACCAGCGCGCCGGGGGCCGGCCGGCGCCGCACCTGGTGTACAGGCCCCCGACCATGGATCACAGCGGCGTTGCCCGTGCGTCGGGCCGCCCGCCCCATCCCAGCGGCGGTGAGCGCGACAGACGGTCTGACGGAGAATCTTGACCCTGGTGCTGGTCGTTTTGATCGTGTTCCTGTGGTTTGTACTGTTGTATGATGGCGTGTGCCGGGGCGTCGATGTTCTAAACTGCCGGTCGCTGGGGCACCAGCATGCCGTAGTTTCAGTCTAAAAGCGGTAAATGTACTTGCCAATGTGCACACGTATGGAGCCAGGTATGAAAATGTGTAAAATGATGGCAAGAACCTACGTCCTGGAAGAACAGGGTGTAAGGATTCATCGATGCGAGTCATCGTTGGTGGTCATGCTGTTCATGGGTGAGGCTGGCTGGCAATGACGGAGGCAAATTAAACTACCACACTCAGGGTGGCACGGGAAGAACATTTCCGTCTCATTTCTAAGTCGTTCCTGATGTTCGGGTGTAACTCTCTCTGACGTGCTCTATTCTGTTGCAAAAATGGCCATCGCCTTGCACGCGGCTCATTCACCGGCGGAGAAACATCCGCTCACAGCGTCACCCCGTGGTTTGACGGTGCTGCCACCTACAGGGCCGCCGCCGCTTCCCGCGCTTTCCGGCCGGGCACGGACGCGCCGGCCGCGCGACGACCCGCTCCGGGGTAGGTCGTGGGGCCGGGTCAGGAGGTCAGACGCCAGGTCACGCCGCCGGCCGCGCTCCGTCAGCGCGGAGAGGAACGTCGAGACGCTGATCGTTGCCGACCCGGACGTGGTGCAGTTCTACGCAGACGACGACATCGAGACGTACCTGCTCACCATCATGAATGGGGTTAGTCAGGGTCCGACCCTCCTCCGACCCTCGCCCCCCACACATAGCAATGGCTGTTCTACACTCAGGATGACTTAGTGGGGTGTCCAATAATCAACCGACTTTGCGCATGATGAACTATCTCGATGCCGTCATCTCGGGGACAAAGTGGCTGTTCCGAGTAGGGTGGAACAATAGCCTGATTTGCTCGGTTTAAATTTTGCCTAAATGTGATGAGCATGAGGGGCGTGAGTGTTGCTTGCATAAATTTTCGGCTGTAAATATGTCAGTGCTGTCGCTACCCTAGTCCATTCGTCATCGGCGTAGTCAGGCCCTGGGTGAGAGGGGGTGGGGGAGTCTGCGCGCGCAGCTGGCGCCAACGCCACTGACTGCATTTCAACGCATCAGGCATCAGGCATGTGTGGCATTGAAGCCTTCCATTTGACCCAATAAATATCCCTGTGGAAGTAAAGGTCATGTCCGAATGTGAAATACGGCGATAGGAGGTAAATGTAGATGTAGATGGAGGTAGATAGAAGATAGACGGATGGTCACAATGGTGAACACACACGCCACGGGTCACCCACCTCACCTGCGCCAGAAAATGGTGCGAACCCGAATATCAGCTGAAAACTCTATAAGGTGTATCAAATTTCGGAGCTCTAGGTCCTCCTCTTGCCGTTATGTTTCACGCAGTGCTTGCGGGGAAGGGGGGGAGGGGAGGGGAGGGGCGAGCTTATATGTTCAAGTGCCGACACTGCTGTTGACCGCACGCATACGAAGCAGGTACATCAACGGGGCGCATATTCTCAAAGGACTCAGTGTGCCATGTTTCATGAGTGGGACATCAGCCGTTCAATGGCGAATACACAGCACTCAAAACGATTTTGCGCACATCGCACGCAACTGTTGTAGCGATCCCGCCAAACTGTGCCTGCCCCTATGCTTGTATGTGCTTGGAACATATCAGTTTGCTTCTATGTACGCTACCCGTAGCTTTATCGGTGAAAACATATCTCACTCAACATATCCGTGGCGGAAGGTGTGGATTCGAGACGCTTCCTCGCTCAATATGTGCTTCTGGTTAAGATGGGCTGCGGTCGATGGCAGGGGCCGCTCAAGGTCAGATGAGTTCGGTGGGAGGATAGAAATATGTCGGGTATTGCGACACGTTCAGTTTTTGGCCTCAAATAGGTATCGTTTAGCTAGATGGCCGGTTGGTGGTGTCGGGGTTTACACAAAAATCCATGCTTAGCGTGGCTGTGATCCCAGACATGCTTTCAATTAGACTGTCGTGACGAAATTTACCTTTAAAAAACTCACTCAAACAATGTACCGTGTTTGGTTGTTCCTACCCCTTACGTTCGCGGCAAGAGCCTCCAAGGGCATGAGAGCGCAAGTGCAGGTCTTGACCTTCAGGCCGAGCGGCACGGGGGACAGCATGCATATGGATGTCATTCAAATCAACTGCAGGACTGGCGCACCACGTGTCATGTGCTGTTGCTAACCGTTCAAAGCCAGTGCCATAGGGACGCACGTTGTTTGAGCATGCGGTGTGGGCACATTAACACCGCGTACGGAATGGAGCCTGCTTGGGTATGTTGCGCTGCCACTCCGTTATCCTGCAAAGCCAAGAACTCGACCAACGCTCGGCCTCTAGCCCGCCGAATGGGTAAGGAGCCAAGTCCGGGGGTGCAGTACCTGATCTTCGCCCCGAACAAGCGTATCCTTGACGAGCTTCTCGACCGGGTCCAAATTGTCCAAGAGCCCAGAACGCCCACTCTCATATGTGGTACGACTTCCTTGCACACACGTACAAGGAAGTTGTACCTAATCACGACCTTAGTAGCTCCCTGAGCGGATGAAACGCACCTGGTTGGGTTGTTCCGTCACCATGTTATCGTGTTGCGCCGGGAACGTGAGCAGCACACAGCCGAAGTGTGAGGTATGAACCACATCAATCAGGGGGGCTACACCGTGCGTGAGCGCCTCATGCGCGTATCAAGCCGCTGCCACCTTCAGCTTTGGTGGCCATGCACACCTTTACCACCAAGTGGGCCAAATTGCCCGATTGTAGCTGGAGGTGTTCCGAACCGGAGGTACTCCAGTCCAAAACGGCGCACGCGCCTGGTGGGGTACCGGGCATCATCGGCCGCCGTCACCCGCAGGCACTGTTCAACCGCATCGATGGCCTTGTTCAAGAACCATGTGATGAACTGGCGTCTTTTCCGAGTGGTCGTCATTCACAAATTTTGATGAGGCAAATGCGTGCAAAGAGCGCCCCTCACTACTTTGGTTGTGAAGTATGAGGTTTGAAGGCATATGCAAGGCGAGTAGATACTCGCAACCATTGACTTCTCTATTCCAGGTAGCACAATTATACCACGATGCAAGTATCGGCAACGCCATAAATGTCATCCTGGTCCGGATACTGATCCTGGAATCCATCGAGAATACGACGGTATGTTTTGGACACCGCTTGCTGAGCAAGCGAAATGTTTGTGAGTTTGCATAGTAAGCGGGGCGTGGTGGACATGAAAGTAAATCCGGTATGTGGTGATCGATGTTGTGAAAATGTAAAGGAAAGACGACAGTTGTCGGGTTTCATGACAGCCACTTCTGGAAATGTCAAATGTTCAGCACGTATCCTCAGAACCGGCCACCATTTCGGAAATTGTGTTCATAGTTCAAAGGAAGTGGCGACGCCTGAGCCACCAGCTAGACTGATGCGCCCTGCCGTGGACCCGTCGCCCCGTGCCCCCCTCACCCCCAGAGCAGTAATAACTCGCTGTCACTTGTGCCTCTTGGCTGAGCTCACAGCGCCGGAGACCGCTTTCAGTTGCATTTTAACATCAGTGAGAACGCTGACAGTTCTCTGAAGAGCTTCTGTAGCTGGCAAATCAAAATGAACCCCTCCAACGAGAGCCATCCCAATCATCATGATGTGGCCGTCCTGCTTACCAGGTGAGAGGCTTGCAACAGGTGCCAGGGTCGGTCTGTCTTCTGTTATTAAAGCCGCCCTGTCCCGTGATAAGGCTCTTGACAATGTCTATTGTTGGCCGTCGTTGGGTGTCAACAGTTATATGTGCTCTCTCACCCCCCTCCTGTATTTTTAACGGATGTACAGCGGCGCGCAGCTGCATTGAACCCATGCAGTTTCACTGGATTCAGGCTCATTTCAAAGACGTAACTCTACCAGAAAGACGCTTTTTGCGACGGGGGACGAACGAGGTGATAATAGACGAGAGTGCAAGCCACCAGGTGGATTGATGCGTTCTGCTGTGGCGTAATGTGCATAATGCCAGTGCATACGCGAATGGAGCAATACGCTTTTCTCCAAAAGGGCATTCTCGATGCTCTGAAGATCCCCTTTCCAGAGCTGAGCTGTATTAGGTGCACTGATGCACAACATTTGCGTGCAAAACTGTAAATGATTTGCCTGAACATTTTTCTAACTTTTGCCTCGTTTGTCTAGCATTTCTAAACCATCGACGTCGCTGAATTTCTTCTGGCCTACTTTTTCGGTGGCACGGTCTCTCTCTCTCTCTCTCTCTCTCTCTCTCTCTCTCTCTCTCTCTCTCTCTCTCTCTCTCTCTCTCTCTCTCTCTCTCTCTCTCTCTCTCTCTCTCTCTCTCTCTCTCTCTCTCTCTCTCTCTCTCTCTCTCTCTCTCTCTCTCTCTCTCTCTCTCTCTCTCTCTCTCTCTCTCTCTCTCTCTCTCTCTCTCTCTCTCTCTCTCTCTCTCTCTCTCTTGCTCTTGCTCTCTTTGCTCTTGCTGCTCTGCTCTTTGCTCTGCTCTTGCTCTTGCTCTTGCTCTTGCTCTTGCTCTTGCTCTTGCTCTTGCTCTTGCTCTTGCTCTTGCTCTTGCTCTTGCTCTTGCTCTTGCTCTTGCTCTTGCTCTGCTCTTGCTCTTGCTCTTGCTCTTGCTCTTGCTCTTGCTCTTGCTCTTGCTCTTGCTCTTGCTCTTGCTCTTGCTCTTGCTCTTGCTCTTGCTCTTGCTCTTGCTCTTGCTCTTGCTCTTGCTCTTGCTCTTGCTCTTGCTCTTGCTCTTGCTCTTGCTCTTGCTCTTGCTCTTGCTCTTGCTCTTGCTCTTGCTCTTGCTCTTGCTCTTGCTCTTGCTCTTGCTCTTGCTCTTGCTCTTGCTCTTGCTCTTGCTCTTGCTCTTGCTCTTGCTCTTGCTCTGCTTGCTCTTGCTCTGCTCTTGCTCTTGCTCTTGCTCTTGCTCTTGCTCTTGCTCTTGCTCTTGCTCTTGCTCTTGCTCTTGCTCTTGCTCTTGCTCTTGCTCTTGCTCTTGCTCTTGCTCTTGCTCTTGCTCTTGCTCTTGCTCTTGCTCTTGCTCTTGCTCTTGCTCTTGCTCTTACTCGTGCTCTTGCTCTCTTTAAAGGCCACACCGATTTCGGGTAAAAGTTGCATCGATCGCTCCCGGTGGACGACACTTCGCCACGAACCGCAAAGGGCTGCAATCGCCTAGAGATTTGTACACGGCACATTCATCGAAGCATTACCTTTGGTGTCATGTCGCTATTGATCTGGCTGCCACGATAGCAATATTTTAGGATAGAACCGTTAGGCTTTCTAAAAAAAAGCACTCAAAACCGGCCGATCCACGGTTTACACTCGAAAGTATGTGACCGCCTACACAGGTTCGCCCACTCTTTCACCAGTACGATTTCGTTCTCTTATTCAAAATGTGTTGACCTTGCAGTTTCGTAAAGTGATTTTCAGGGCTTTCGCAATCGGTAAATTCTTTGTTTTCGAGGCAGTCGAACGGGTTAAGCGATTGCAACTGCGTTAGTTAAGTTTGCTGAGATCTCAAAAAACTGGAGGGCGACCACGCCTGGAATAGTCGCGCTTCATGCTGTTGGAAACAGTCCGAAGATGTGTGTAATGGTTCACACCGCACTACGTCCTATGGAGCGTGGTGACCGGGCCAGAGCTGCCCTTTTACGTTGAGAGTGCGTTTATTGTTCAAGCCAGACGCCCTGCGTCTGCGCTTCGCTGGCAAAAAGGCTCCAAACTTAGCAAGATATGGCATCTGCATTGGAAATAATCTGTACCTTTGTATCGGACATCCAGCATTCGACTTAAGAAACGAAACCTTCCCGACTCATCTTGTGTAACATGTCATCGTCCGTGCACTGTACGCGTTCTCGACCGACCGGCTGCCCGCCACCTCCAGACGGAACATCTGCGGCGAGAACGAGACGTGCAGCACGCTGGGCCTGGCCGAGGTGTCAGGCATGTGCCAGCCCACCCGCAGCTGCAACATCAACCAGGACACGGGCCTCGCCGTCTCGTACACCATCGCCCACGAGCTGGGCCACAAGTCAGTCGGCCGCGGCCGCGCCTGGCGACCGGCGCGCACTTAACTGTGCAGTTCAGTTTGTAATTTGGTCGTTGCTGACGCTGCGTCGTCCTGGCCGCTTGCCGTCTTGGCGCGAGGCTGAAGGAATGGCGCGGCGCTGTTTCCGGACCAGTCTGTCGAAACTCGGCCGCCGCAGAATGAAGGGATTGGCGTCGATCTCGAGAGGATCGGTGTCGGGGTGTGCTGTGGGTTACTAGGTGGTTCGTCGTACCCTCACCCACGTTCGCAGACGAGTGGTTCTGGTGGATGTCGGGGACGACTTGAAGTTGAAACTCGAAACAGGTCACCGAACCATTTCAAAAACTTATCGTCGGCTTGCATCCTCAGGGCCAGTCATCGGAATATGTTCCCAAAATGTCTGGCGTGTTTGACCAAAGCAGCCATTCAGTTCCATATTTCCGTGTGTGTTAGGTTTCTCTTGTGGACTGAAGTTGGCTTGCGGCGGCGGCGGCAGCGGCGGCGAGTTCAAACCACTTAAATTCATTAGCCTTAAGCTTCATTAAGCCGTCTCCAAGTTTGAGCTTTAAGCCGTGACGAGCTCATCCCACTCGACTTAAGCATTCAAGTCATCCAAAGAGAAACGCCTTCGGAAGTTAGAAGCTGAGTGCTGCGAGTAGATAAGACATTGAGTTGGACGCTGTCTAGGCCTGACGTAATGAAGGAAAACGTTTCTTAACACGCCGATTGGTCATGCTCACAAATCCCTTGCCATATTGGAACGTAATCTGATATAAAGTTTGGTCGTATCACCACACCGTATATACTTAGACGTTTAATTGGTAAGAATCTTACAGAATTATAATATCTGACCTGAGATATTTTGATTATTCGTCAGTTGTCAGCATATTCACATGTACCAGAATTATATTGTCTGTCCAGCGACATTTTTGCCATGCGTGTCAGCAGGGTCGGGTCATTGTTTGGGAGATGTTCAATGAACGTCACACTAGTAAAACAATGTTGAAAACTTTGGAAATATGTATGCACAGTTATTAGATTATTAAGTAGATAAAGATAGCGGTTGACGACTATTGTTCTAGGTCTACCTTTGTTAGACATTTGTTTTTATAGTTCGGGGTATTGCTGTTGTTCGCACAGCTATTGTTCATGGTCGATACATTTTAGGCCGGCATGGCCTTTAGGACTTATAGTATGTGTGTGCCTAGCGTCGGTGCGGTATTCGGTGCAGATCGCGAACAATAATATATATATATATATATATATATATATATATACGTAGTAAATGAATAGGTTCGCGTGGATTTGTAGGACCTGAAGCACATGTGCCAGACGTCAGTCCGGATACAAGGCAGTTTATGTGACAAAATGACATCTAAGGAATCATGCGTAATATTCGCTGCGGCTGAACACTACCGCATGGGAACAATGCATTTACTATTTTACCACTATTGCGAACAGGGTTCCTCTATATGACTTATCATTGGAAACAGGTATCTATTGTATGATTTTGATGTGGGCAGGCTGGTGCATTACGGTGTGGTGATGCACAAGCGGTATGCAATAGTGTTATCCAAATGAAGGCAATTTTAGAGCACAATCAATGTGTAATGCTAAGCTTTTTTAACAACATTTATTGCAGACTATTCTGCTTTTGCCTAAGGTAGACACTGAGCGCTATGACACCGCCGATATTGCACTTTGAAAGTGTCTTAGATGCAACATATTTGAACATTAATGCACTATGACATGCGTTGTGATCGCCACGCAAATTATCTCAAGTGAGATATTGTTCGATGTTTTTTTGCAAAAAAGGCTGCTTTACCAGGCAGTCTTGCCTTATGTTCTGGTCCTGACATGCCCTGACTAAGGCTGCCTGTCTGAGTGGTTTGAACTGTCACTATTTCCGCTCACACCTCAGTGCTACGCTCTCGTATGTTTTTTGCAGCTGTTTCGTGCTGTTTAGGTTTCCCACTCAAGTAGTTTGCCTTTCAATGAGCAACAATCCTAAGGTCAGTTTGTAGATGGCATTATGCATAGCCTTGTTCCTCGCAGAATTAACAGGAGAATGGATGGACAGACACCATATCTTGGCTACATGACTTTATCAAGAGGAATATCAGTAGTAAATTCAAAATTGACTGCTGACCCTACCCGGTGTCTCAAGTTTGGTTTTTAAACAGCGAGCCACAGTTGTTACAGGTCACCACCGTTCAGGGTATTAAAATAGGAGCAATTTCAAGCCATTTCTATAATACAATGCACATCTAACTGAGAGTTAAGATACGCGAAATATGCGTGTATACGCAAAATATTTCAATTAAACAGGCATCGCGCATCGCGCTTCAGACATCAGTCATACATGAAAGCAATTTTAAGCTAACATGCATCGGACATCAAGGCACTTATCACATTCGCATAATCGGTCAAGATGAGCCCTGTACGTAAAGGTCTGGTCGCCAACTTCTCTCATCAGAATAAATTTGCTTATTTCCCTGTCTGAACGGTCCTGTGCTCTGTAGATGACTTTAAGCTCTGAAAGGGGTAAAGGGTCCATACCTCCCCGGATTTGAGACTGAGCGTGCTTTGTAAAAAATGGTCGACGAATGGGGTATTTTCTGCTTTGTTTTTGGCGTCTCGCAGGTGTTTATCATAGCTTCGTTGAATAGGGCGCATGGACTCCCGAGCACAGACTACGTCCCTACTATGTTTTTCACACAATTTGCACTTAAATTTGTAAACCACGTTTTTTGCGCGCAAACCCCTTAAAACACATACTTGCAAAAATGACACCTATTGCTTCTCGGGCGTTCAGGCTTTGAAATTGACGGCTTCGCCTGAAACATGTTTAGCTTATTGTCGCTCTTCCACGTTACGTGTACGCGCGGTTTTGATTTCGTAACGACGTGTGGATTTCCTAACGATTCATGGAAATGTTCGTCTGCCTTAGCTCTCACAGATTATACTGGACTTCAATGTAACTGGACTTGGCTTTTACTGTACTGAACTATTTTCACGGGTTTTCCTCGGTTTATATGGTTTTACGCAAGAATTACCATTTACGCCAAAAATCTACGGATTTTTTAGTTCGAGAACTTGGTTTCATAAAACGAAGTTCCCAAAATACTGAAATGTCTGCTTGTCCAGAATCTGATAAGTCATCACGGCAATTGTTGGGGAAGATCAGGCTTCGAAAATTTCCTTTGATAGTCCAGTGTAACCCTGCGTTTTAACGCTGCTTAATGATACAACGTCTTTTTCACAATTGTAATTATTTGCTACCAGAAACAAGAATTGTGTCATTCAGTCCTTTCTTCCCAACCACATTTAGTTCCTCGTAATCGCATCCACACTATACACACAAACCTCTTTAAAGGGCATCTTGGATTTGTTTATGAAAATTCCACGCATGCTCCGTATAGTATAATCGTATGACTGAGCCGTCCCGAGTGAAATAAGGAGCGCGACATCGTTTTTGTGAGTGTCGCACTATCTTGTTATGCAAACTACATTAGGTTACCCAAACTACATCACACCTTAGATGGGACATTAAGTGCTGACGGTGATCCGCGACAGCCTGCCCCGGCCTCTCAGCTGACTATCTTATTGAATCAGTACTGGTTGTCACCATGATACGTACCTTATGAGTGGTAATGTAATGCGGCTGAATGAAATGTTTCATGCGTCTTGTCTCAATGTATCGCTCATGAAAGAAGATAGAAGTCACAGAACGTTGAAATGGGCAACATTGGTCGGAAATATATTTGTGCTAAGCTTTTTTGGCGCGGCAGACACCAGATCTTTGACGTCAGCACAATGTTTACGAGCGCAGCAAAGGGAACGAGATCAACGAACTTTCGCAGGTGTACAGTTATTTGATTGCATATTATCTCTTCTGGCAAAGTGACATTCGAAAACATAGAATAAATGTGACATTGCGCCACTGCCCATCTCATTAGAATCGGCTCGATCCCCTGACAGGTCGGCTCGATCCCGCGATAGGTCGGCTCGATCCCGCAACAAGTCGGCTTGATCCCGTGACAGGTCGGCTCGATCCCGCGACGGGTCGTCTCGATCCCGCGACAGGTCGGCTCGATCCCGCGATAGGGCTCGATCCCGCGATAGGTCGGCTCGATCCCGCGACGGGTCGGCTCGATCGTGCGACAGGTCGGCTCGATCTCGTGATAGGTCGAGAAGAACTGAAAGCCGGCCAACCATGGATTCCAAGAAAGGAATGCCAGCGAAATTTGACCTTATGGAGCAGATCCCATCGAGTGCATGCCTTTTGCTCTGAAAGCGGGTCAGGGCCTGGAGTCAGGTTTTCAGAGCTTCGCGAAACATATACGAATCAACATTTGTGATGAACAGCAGTGCAGAAGTAAACTAATGCTGCCTGGTTGCAATCCTCAACGCTTTACAGTCCAGTACGGCTTAGCTACTAAAGCTTTCGTCAAAAACGAAAACCACGGCAACTATGCTCTCAATAAATCTCCAAATAATAGAGCACCACCACCGACATTCGACACGTTTCGGAGAAGTCATCCCGCTAAGGTGCTAGGCACAGGCTGCCCCACAGACTGGGCTCGGTTGGAATACTGCAAAAAGGTGCGCATGGCTTTGCAAGGTTTAAATAGTAGTCACAGAAGTATGCCATAGATCATGCACGTAATACATTGCCGTTGTACTGATCTTTGTTGTCGACACCGCCGAAGACTCGTTGTCGACACCGCCAAAGACTATCTGAGCTCATTTCGCTCTCGCTTACTATTGGACTGTGTTGCAACATTATAAGGTGAGTGAATTGCGTGCACTGGAAAAATTTCGAACTCAATTTAATCCGTGTAAAAGACAGGCACACACTATGAAGTGGTTAGCAACAGCATGGGTTGTTTGGTAGTGGAGAACAGTGGAGAACAGTTTCAGTACAGACAGGCAGTATGGAACGGTATCCACTTGGGTGCACCATATTACCTGCCCCTCGTTGAGCGTCGCTGTGATTTGTA